GTGTGTGAGAGAGAGAGAGATGTTGAAGAGGGTTCACAATCCAACATCAAGTGGCTGCCTAGCCCTGGGAAGGTAATTAGGGCCACTGGGTGATGCACTTGAATGTGATTAAGATCACAAACTGGAGGCTGTGTGCGGCTTGCCCTCGCAGCTCTGGTGGTCTAGGCGGTAAGGAGTGGCACTGCTTCGAGGTCACCAGCTGCTCCGTGGGAGAAGGATGGGCAGCCTCCTCCCACGGGCTTTACAGCCTCTGAAAACCCGCTGGCGGCTCAGCTCTGAGGAGGCTCCGATTCGATGGCACCTAACAGTATATTTTCGCCTCTCCGACTTGCTGTGGCATCAGCTGTGACTCAGGACACCCAGATGCTCTCCATGGGGTTCTCGATGGCTGAGTTTTGGGGACTAGGTCACCGGCCTTTCTTCCACCCTGGGTGGTTTAGAACTGCCAGCCTATCAGTTGGCATGTTAACTATTTACAGCACTCAGAGGCATGTCTGTTTTATTACAACAACAAAAAGAAAACCATTTCTAAAAGTGCAACTTCTGGCCCCCAAACACCCCCAGTGTTAATGTGGATGTCACTGAGTACTGCTGAGGCAGAACTGACCCATAGCTGACCCTCCAGCAGGTTTTTAGAGGCAGGAAATCGCACAGGTGGATTTGAACTGCTTGCCTCTGGGACTGTGGTGCAGCTTCTTAGCACGAGGCCACAACAGCCCCCTGCTAGGGTGGATAGATAGCACCACTACTTGCCCAAGAGGCTGTAACAATGTATGTTCCCACCACCACGTCGGGCACCACTGACACCTGTGCAGATACTGCTGCCTCCTTCCCAGGTGGCATCGCTGTCCTCCACCTGTGACCAAGTGGCTCCAGACACCTTTTTTCTTCTGCTCCTTTAACAAATGCAGAGAATCCTCTTTCCTCATACAGGGTGGGGGTTGGGGGCAGGGTGATGTCACAGTTACCATAGCGACCCTGGACCAGTAGTCATCCATTTCTTTCTGTGCTCCACAAAACTTTCCTTGTCTCTCGGCCTGGAGTTGCAGCTATTGAATGCAGGATAGGCAGTGAAAGAGAGGCCAGGAGACAGGGCAGGGGGGCCATGAAGAACTCGCCCCAGAAACAGAACTCCCACAACCCCAAAGAACCTCCAACTTTAACCCCTTCCAGGTGGAACCTCAAGTCAGGCACTTTAAGAGGACAATGGATTTGTTTTTCATTTGCATACAATAGGAGCTTATTTACACACAGTAGGGGCTCACTTACACACAGTGGGAGCTCCTTGTTCAGGAGGTGCTGAGCTTCTGTTCAGAACATGGGAAAAAACTGGAGTAAAAAACAAAAACCTGGGAGTAGAGGATGGTGGTGGAGAAGCTATCAACGTCCCTGTGTCAGGTATGGTCAGGTAAGGAGTGAGGGCTGAAATGGTGACTCTGGTGTCCACACTGGTTGTTCGTGTCGTTGGGTGCTCTTGAATGGATTCTGACCCACAGCGACCCGTGTGACAGCACTGAGCTGCTGCACAGGCCTTCCTATGCTGTCATCTTTGTGGAGGGAGCCCTGGTGGTGTACTGGGCTATTAGACTAAAGGTCAATGGTTCGAATCCATCAGTTCACTCATCTGGAGAAAGACAAGCAGTTGCTCCAGTAAAGATTCATGGGGGATGGTCACAAGTCACAACCGACTGGACAGACATGAATTTTGATTGTGGGCCATCACTCTGTCAGTTTGTTACACTTGCCGTATTGTGTGTTGCATGTTTTCATAGGCTGAAATCTCCTATGAAGAATGCCAGTCTTCCTTCCGTGGAGCAGATGGGGGATTTGAACCACCCACGTTTCTGTTGGAAGCACGACTCCTTAGCAACTAGACAACCATGGTCACCAGATTTTAAATATGAAGAAGTTCATCTATGTGGGTAGATGTCAGCAAAGCTTCCAGGCAGAGAGATCGGAAAGAAAGGGCTGGTGGTCTACTTCTGTGAAGAAAAACTCAGGCTCTTGAAAACCGTGTGCACAGCACTGGAGCATGAGCTGCAGCGCCAGTGGGCTCACCCCTCAGGTTAGAGGGTACCCAGCGGGCTCGCCCCTCAGGTTAGAGGGTACCCAGCGGGCTCACCCCTCAGGTTAGAGGACACCCAGCGGGCTCGCCCCTCAGGTTAGAGGACACCCAGCGGGCTCGCCCCTCAGGTTAGAGGGTACCCAGCGGGCTCACCCCTCAGGTTAGGGGGCACCCAGCGGGCTCTGGTGCAGCCACCACCAAGGGACCTGCACTGAGAGGTGCGCTGGACGAGGCCGCGGCTCATTCTGCCGGACCCGGCTTGCTAGGAATCAGAACCAGCTCGAGGGCAGCTGAGGACAGTTCCAAGCAGGCTGTCATGGGTTAGGCTAAGGGAGGGAAAGGGGCTTTCCTCCTCTCTGGAGAGCAGAACCCCACTCAGCGGGCAGCTTTGGGTGCTTCGACAGCCAGCGGCCCCTGTTTTCACAGAGGGAGGGAGTTCGGTTTGTGCGAGGGAGGGAATTTGGTTCGGTGCAGAGAGCCCTAGAACCTCTCTGGGATGTAGCAGCCAGGCCCTGGCGGGAGACAGGACTCAGAACTCAGGATCCCCGTCCTGAACTGAGAGGAAAGTGTGTTAAAAGCTGGGCATCCATGAACCCCAAACCCAGACCTGCTATTGCCGATCAGCGCCCCCAGCGAGCCTGTAGCACGGGTAGATCTGCCCAACCAGGTCTCTGAGACTGTAAATCTTCATGGGAGACGGGTGGTGGATTTGAACCGGTAGAGACGACTACCTTTTGGTTTGTCAGTGCAACTCCTCGCCACGAGCCCCCCAGAGCTCCCCCCTGTTCAGGCAGCTGAAGGCAGTGGCGTGAACCAGTGCGAGAGCCCCTGTGTGAGCACAGGTTTAGGTAACAAGACAAAAGCCCGAGAGCCGAGGCTGCAGTCAGAGGCTAAGACGGCGTTTGGGGGATCTGGCCCTTGCCCTGTGCCTGGGGCCTCCCCAGGTCCAGAGCTGAGCACCTCCCTCATCCTCCGTCCGTCCCAGCTCAGGCAGAACCGGGCCTCTGGAGGACCACCTCCAGCTCCTCCTTCCACTCGGACTCAGCAGTCTGCAGCCTCTGGAGAAAGCAGCATTCTCGTGGATTTAATGGGCCTGTATCGATCTCCACCCAGCAGAGCCCCCTCCGGGAGGGCCCCCCACGCTCAGCAGACCCCCTCCCGGCCTGGGCCGGTGCCTGTCACCACGACCCTGGGTGCCTGAGCCAGAGGAGCAAAGAGGAGAGTGTCCAGGCTGCCCAGACAAAGGGGGCCTGTCTGTGTGTCCCCCAGCAGCAAAGGACAGCCCTGTGTCCAGCTGGCAGCCGGCCATGCTAAGCCTCTCCCCACCCCTCCGGCTTTGCCTGGCGGCTCCTTTGTGCCCATTCACGAGTCCAGGCCTCCTCCTGGACGGCTGACAGCCTCCTGGCTCGGACTTTGGGAACCCACGTCGGGGCAGAACAGTTCTTGGATTAGGGTCATCTCCGAGTGGCCGGAGGACTCAAGGCCCGGGAGAGAGGGCTGGGAACAGAAAGGGAAACTGAGCAAAGCATGGAGAAAAAGTAGGGGCTGAGCAATGTGGTGTGGGGTGTGATGTGTCTCCCCAAAGATACACTCCAGTCCTCAGGCAGGTGATAGACTGCAGGTGTTATCAATCAAGGTAGCATGGGGTCACATGGGGCAGGGGCAGGGCAAGGCCTCATCCCAGCTAGACTAGTTGCTGATAGGTCATTGAATCGGTTCTAGCTCTCAGTGACCGCATGACCACAGCACAAACCTGGCCAGTCTCTTCCGTGCCGAAGCCCTTTCTTGGAGTTCACTGGGCCAGTCGGTCTCACTGGCGGTCAGTCCGTCTCACTGGCAGTCAGTCCATCTCACTGGCCGTCAGTCCGTCTCACTGGTGGCCAGTCTGTCTCACTGACGATCTTTTCCACTGACCCTGCTTTACCAAGCGTGGCGTCCTCCTTCACAGACCGGCCACTCCTGCTCACATGTCCAAAGTGCAGGACTCGAAGCCTTGCCACCCCGGCTGCTCTTTAAGCCAGATTTTCTTTCTCTCCTGGACGTCCATACGTAGCCTGTTCAGTAGTCTTCACGGATACCACAGTTCAAAGACAACAACCTTTGGTCTTCCTTAATCTTTTTCCAGCTTGTCAAATACTGAGTGTTGTTGTTGTTGTTGTTGTTGTTGTTGTTGTTGTTGTTGTGGAGTGTCATCCAGTCAGTTCTAACTCAGAACCCCAGCAGCACACACGGCCTCGCCTGTGCCATCCTCACAACCGCTGCTGCGGCCACATGCCGTCCATCTCACCCAGGGGATTCCTCCTGGTGGCTTAGTGCTAAGGATTTGCACCGCCAGCTCGGAGGTATGTGGTTTGAATCCACCAGCTCCTCTGGTTGAGAAAGGTGGGGAGTCAACTCCCATGTGATTTACTGCCTCTGAAAATCCCTTGGAGGGTCCGCCACGTGTGGGCTCTGACTTGAGGGTCCACAACAGCTCCTTTACTAAGTATGAGTTCCTTCTGAGATATTGTCAGTGCCATCAAGACAAGTACAACTCCTACCGACCCTAAGAACAAAAGATCGGAACCCTGTCCCGTCCTGTGCCATCCTCACTTCCTGATACACAGAGCCCACTGCGGCAGTCACTGTGTCAATCCACCTGGTTGAGGGGCTTCCTCTCCTTCACCGACCCTCCACACTTGCCAGCATCATGTTCCTCTCTAAGCAATAGCCCCTCCTAGCAACATGTCCAAAGTATGTGAGCCAAAGTCTCATCATTGTTGCCTCCAGAGAGCACTCCCGCTGCACCCTCTCCATGACAGATCTGTTTATTCTCTTGGCCATTCATGGGATGTTCAGGGCTCTTCTCCAACACCACAGCTCAGAGATGTCAATTCTTTTTCTGTCATCCTTATTCATCGTCCAGCTCTCAGATACATAGCAAGTGACCGAAAAGACCATGGCCTGAATCAGAGGCACCTTACTTCTCAAACTGACATCACTACTCAATAATTTGGAGAGGTCCCTAACTGCAGAGTTTCCCAGTGCAATGTGTCTCCGTATTTCCTGACTGCTGGTACCGAGAGTGTTAATTGAGGATCCAAGCAAGATGAAGCTGTTGACAGTTGCAGTCTCCTCTCCCTCCATCAGGATGTTGCTCATCAGTCCAATGGTAAGAATCTTTGTTTTCTTGACATTTAGATGCAATCCATACTGAAGGCTGCATTCCTTGATCTTCTGCAACAAGTGCTTCAAGTCCGCCTCACTTTTAGCAAGCAAGGTTGTGTCACAGGTTACTGAGGAGTCTCTAACCCTGACACCACACTCTTTCTTAGAGAGTCCAGGTTCTCAGATAATATGTTCAGAATACAGACTGACTAGGTGTGGACAGAGAATACAACCCTGATGCACGCTCTTCTCATTTTTAAACATGTAGTGCTCCCCTGCTCTGTTTACACAACAGCCTCCTGGTCCAAGTATAGGTTTTGCACAAGCCCAATCAAATGTTCTGGGATTCCCATTCTTCTCAACATCACAATTTCTTATGATCCACACAGTCAGACACCTTTGCATAGTCAATAAACCACAAATAGGCATTCTTCTGGTATTCCTTACTTTCAGCCGGGATCCATCTGGCGTCAGCAGGGATATCCCTGCTGCCACACCTCTCTTCTAAATCCTGCTTGAACTTCAGGCAATTCCCTATCTATGCACTGTTCTAGCTGTTTTTTAATGATCTTCAGCAGGATTTTGCTTGCATGTGATATTAATGCTTGAGAGTTTCCACATCCAGTTGGATCATCTTTCATGGGAATGGGAATATGGACCTCTTCCAAACCATTGTCCAGAGAGCTGTCCTCCATTTTCCTGGCATAGACTGGTGAGGGCATCCAAGGCTGCATCTGTTAATTGAAACAAGTCAACTGGTATTCCATCAATTCCTGGGAACTTATTTTTTGCCAATGCCTTCAATGCAGATTCAACTTCCTCCTTCACGACCATTGGCTCTGTTCATATGGTACTTCCTGAAATATTTCCGGGTCAATCAGTTCTTTCTGGTACAGTGATTCTGTGTCTTCCCTCCATCTTTTTTTGATGCTTTCTGGGTTATTCAATATATTTCCCACAGCATCTTTCCTCTTGAGTAGACCCCACAAATGAGACAAAAAGAGAAGAGAATCGTGTGATGGAACGGGCATTTACAAGCTACCAGAAGCTAGAAGGTTCCGGAGCACCTCTCCACCTTACAGGGTGAGGCACTGCTTGGAATGAGGGAATGCGCCAATCTCCACAACCCCCTGCCCCACAACCCTATCTCCTTTTACAAAAGGAACGCCGAGCTCCTAATCCCTGTGCCCATGAAGCATAACCTTGTTCGGAAATAGCCAAGATGCTACTAGTTTGATGATGTTGTTGTTACTGTTGTTAAGTGCAGTCAAGTCGCCTGCGACTCAGCGACCTTATATACAACAGCTCTAAACCCTGTTCTATCTCGAGCCAACCTCATCATCTTTGACACACCTATCCCCATTACCCCAGTTACTGAGTCAATCCATTTCATCCAGGGTCTTTCTCTCTCTCCTATGCTGGCCCTTCACCGTCCCAAGCATGACGTCCCTCTCCAAGGACTGGTCCTGCCTTGCAACATGTTCAAAGTATGTCAGACAGAGCTTCAGAATCCTTGCCTCCAAAGAGCAGCCTGATTTCACCCTCTCTAGGATGAACCTGTTTGTTCTCCTAGCAGTCCATGGTATATTCAATATTATTCTCAAGCACCACAGCTCAAAGGCATCAACTCTTCTTCTATCATCCCTAATCATTGTCCAGCTTTCTGATGCATAACACGTAATTGCAAAGAGCATGGCCTCGATCAGGCACACCTTAGTCTCCAGACTGACATCGTTGCTCTTCAGTTTCTGGAGAGGTCCCTGACAGCAGACTCTCCCAATGCAATTCGTCTCTTGATTTCCTGACTGCTAGTGCTAAGAGTGTTGATTGTGAAGCCAAGCAATCTAAAGCTGTTAGCAATCTCAATGTCTTCACTGTCTATCATGATGCTGCCAACCAGCCCAGTGGTGAGAATCTTTGTTTTCTTGATGTTGATCTTCAATCCATACTGAAGGCTGTAGTCCTTGACCTTCTGCAGCAGGTGCTTCAGGTTCTCCTCAGTTTCAGCGAGCACAGTTGTGTCAGGAATTAATTTGAGGCCATACTGCAGTAGAGTGGACCCTAATCTCATTTGAGTGGGGTCCTTATAAAAAAAAG